GTGAGTTAAATAAAAGCTTGTAAAAACCCTTGATTATGTCTTTGATTTTGTAAATGAAAGTCGGTTATGTTTCAAATCTCAAGTTTGTAAACTTCTTTGTTTAAGTTTTTACATTGTTTTAAGTATGTTCACAGTATATATTCAAAATGTATTCTTCGTCTTGTAATGTTTTGTAAAATGTGACTTTATGTGCTTTTAGAAAAAAATATTTGTCAGACTACTTAGCTAATTAAAAATATCAATTGCAGTTTGGCTTTTTAAGCAATATATGTGTTCCAACAGCGTTAATTTTAGAAAAGTATTTTGATTGTTATGATTATTGTTTTTCCTATTGTCTTATTAATACTCGACCCTAAGATAACTGAGATAATGACCAGGACGGTATATATTATATTTATATACACAGTTATTATTTTTTTTTTAAAGTCATCACTACACCCTGAAACCTCTTAAAATAAAGATAATTTTTCTATGACAAAAATGTTTAGTTCAAATCAGTGGAAAATAAAGCGGGGTCTAGCATATTTTAATACAACTGATGTCAATTTGAAGAAAAGTTGTTGTGGACTACAAAGCTCTACCTACAAATGAATTTAAATTTGTCTTCTAAGTCAACTATTTTTGCTGGTACGCAATACTTGGTTATTTAACTCAAATTTTGCTTAAAAGCGTTTAAGAAACAGATATAACAATATTTGTGCACTTATAGCCTACTTGTAATAAGTTATTATTATTTTGTTTTTACTTTTCATAGATCTGCAATGAATTAGTCCCTTATGACAATGACTTGTTGTACAGCCGTTGACACTCTACACCTTTTTGAGACACACACACACACATACACTCATACGCACACACATACACAACTGAAACTAAAAGCAAACCACAACAAAAAAAGGCTTGTTTACTTTTATTAATTTATTTAACGTTTTCGAGGAGGTCACAAACCCCTTGAGTTCTGTGAGGAAAAAAGCACAATACTCTTTTGTAGTGTGGGGTTTGAGTATAGGACTATAGGGTATGAATAGGGTCCGAAAATCAATGTACATTTTTCAATGTAGAATATGTGCTTGTGATATTGGTAGAACGTTTATCGTGTACTATCCTGTATCCAACTTATAATGAAAATGTACAAAGTACTAGAAGCTTTGCTTTTATATACGTTTACTTATTTTTGGTTTTACAAGATATGTGAAAAATTCCTGTTTTGAATTACCCCCCCCCCCCCCCCTCTTGAGTAATTTGTATAATAGGAATTGGTAAGATTATCATACCAACTTCTGACGCTTTGTTGTCTCCTTCAAGTTTTTTTTCCGAGCTGACCCACATCCCACCTATCTTTATTAGCGTCGAGAGTATCAGATAGAAAAATGTATCGTTAGTGAACTTTCTAGCCGTGCATTCACCACTTGAGCACATTTTGTTGGACCCTAGCGAACACTATTCAGCAGATATTAATTGCAAAGTATTTGACGAAACTAATTCACAAAAACACTGTAGGTTAGATTATTTTTATATTATTTAGAAAATGTTATTTATTAGTAAATGAATTAATTAAACATTATTTTAGTCAATTACTATTTATAAATGACGTTATTTAAGGGAGGGTGAGTCTGTCCCCTAAATCAGAAGGTTATCTGACGCGTGAGCTGGACCCGTACAGTAGTAGGCCTATATGTAAAAAACATGTTTGTGTCTTTTATGCATCACTACATCCTTCATCTGATCGTCATGAAAAGTTGGGAACCAGCACCTCGGACATTTTTAAGCCCCTCGAAAAAAAATGTCTGAAACCGAGAAAAAATACGAAAACAAATACGAACCAATATGCCAATAGTGTACCTTAATAGCTCGTAGTGAAGCGGGTGGTGTTGTAAAGGCATACGTCTATACGAGCTGTTTTTGTAGAGCAGTAGCGTAGCGAGGGGGAGGGACATATGTCTCCGGGCGCCGACCTTAGGGGGCGCCAAAATGGGTTGGAAAAGTAAATTGAAAGGTTGAGGGGGGTGCAAATCGACAGTTAGTGGGGGGTGCAAATCAAAATCTTTGGGAGAGGGTGCAAATCAAAATCTTGAAGGGGGGGTGCAAATCGAAAAGTTTGTTCCCGGGCGCCGGGAAGGGTAGCTACGCCTCTGTATAGAGTGAATTTATCAGAGTTGTGTAGAATTCTATTACTTCGAGTGACGGATAGGGGAGATAATCGTTCATTTTAAATAAGACTGTAAAGGGAGACTACAACGAGTAAGTCTTAAAATCAGTTTCTTGGTTTTAATAAGCTCTGGTTGAAACCTGGCTCTAGTTGATAAAAGAAAAAGGCGACTTGACTCTGTACTGACCACATTATCCCTTGATTGTTCGAAGTCAGCCACACAAATGAACTCTACAGTATCTGTCATATTGGACACTTAAGGTTTTAACAGAGGGAGGGTGAGGGTGCGCCTCTGGATATAATATCTGACGCATTCTCATGCAGGTCAAGTGTAATTTGCAAAAAATTCAAACATCAATACTAGATTGTTGAAAACACGAAACAAAATAATGACGACTATACTAATACCAATTTATGCAGAAATATGCAGTCGTATGCAAATTGAGTTTAATTCAACAATAAAATCAAAACAACGACGTACATTTTTTTTTATAGTTTGACAAATCATTTATGAAAATCACAAAGAATTTCATAAGTAATTTATTATAGAGCATGCAGGTGTGTGTGCGCGCGAAAGGTACAGCGGTCTACAAAACACACTGGAACCAGAACATAACTGGTAAGAAAAAAATTGGCTCGGTTGTTTTTTTTACTGTTACTGTTATCTTAGTGGTGCCTGAACAGCATTGATTTCAGAGATAAGATTTGACGACGCCCTGGTCACCGGATCTCCTGAGTGACGTAGGAGTATTTCTTCCTTCAAATGCAACGTGGCTGGGTTTTTTTTGACATCTGTTCCTATAGGCTTAAATAAAAAAAAATTATTTTTTTAAAATCACAAATTCAAAATGAATTATGTTCTTATCTAATAGCATACAAAAGCACTACAATTTCGTTTGTTAAGCCTCTAGCTAATAACCATTATTTTAATCACTTGTATGTAGATCGTCTAGTAATTGTAAGCATAATTGATTTTGTACATGTGATATCGATATGTTGCATACAGAAATAAGACTTAATAGATATTTAATGTCATCGTTATCATTTTTATTATTAGGATTTTTTTTTATTATTATTATCATTATTTTTACTAGTATTATTATTATTTGTATTGTTATGGTTATGATTATTATTATTATTTTTATTATCACGAATAATAATAATGTTTATCACATTATTAATAATAAAAAATAATCATAATCAATATTAATGTAAAACAATAAAAACACATCTGTTTAATATTTTATACGTTCTTATCAGCTGCTGGGTTATAAATGCTAAGTAATTTTTTTTTTTTTTTAGGTTCTAAAAGTGTTTTCTTTATTTATTTTGGCGGTAGTAGTGGACCAAAGTAAATTCTCCTCCCCCCCTCCCCCCACCCCCGTTATGTGTATTAACAGCCGGCGTCTGTTGTTAGCAGAAGCCAATCGATTTTCTGATACAAAAGGATACTCATCGGTTGAAGGAAGATCGATCAAGGCGCACCATGCAAACACACTAAAAAAAATCTGTACTGCGATTGCATCGGTTGTAAAATCTCGGTATCGAAGGGCACATCATCTTATTGATTTGTACCCATCCTCATAGTATTGATTTGCAGGTATTTATATTGATTAACCTATATCTCCGTTTTGATCATGCCATTTGTGTGTTGAGGCTATGAATAATTGAGTTCCAGGTGTCCTGAATGGAAGTGCACCAGACAGACAGTGTATGTTTTAGATATTTTTCTCTGCGGTAGGGTGGGCACATCAAACTTTCCGGAGTGTTGGGGCGGACTTGAATTTTTGGAGAAAGTCGGACGTTGGTTGAAGCATATATTTTGTAAGGTAAGGTTCCCTTTCAAACCTGATGGTCTGTAGAGCAAGTGACGTAGAGTTCACTGTTTCTGTGACCCCTGCATATAAAGGGATATTGTGGTCAGCACTATGCCAAGCTGCCTTTACTTAGAGTGAGTTAGGTACACTTCAGAGTTAGGTCGACTCAGGGACGGTCTACTGACTTGAACCCGGATTCGAACTCGAGACTTAGGGGTTAGCAGTCCAGCTCTCTACCGTTAAACCACTCCGTCCGTTATATATTTTGTACATACATTCAATTTCGATTGGAATAGATGCCTGAAAATACAAACTCTGCAGGTAAACTGAATGGCTACTTCTCTTCAACACAAGCCTAGATGCACAAATCAAATCATGCAGAGCACGGTGCTATGAGGGGGGGGGGGAGAGACAAAGTCGAATTTGTATGTAGGACATCAACGACATCTGTCCTTTTTAAAATCTACTCAAAGCAACATTAGTACCGAGTACGGTGGCAACGTATTATGGAATAGTCAACTGTGGAGTCTACAACAACCTTCCGGGGGTGGGGGTAATTAAAAAATATATATTGAAAACTGTGCTTTGAACAATATGCCGGTATGGTGCAGGCCAGTGTGAATGTAAACTCCTGGCATGTTCAACCAAGCTGGGAAGATCTGTGCGGGTAGGGATCAGACAAATGTTAGCAGTGTTTCTTCCAGACTTTTTTCTCCGGGGGGGGGGGGGGGCACTAGAAATCTTCGGGGGGGGGGGCTGTAAACTTTCTTCGGGGGGGGGGGCGGACACTGTTAAAAGTGTATATAAATTATATAAATTTCATTTCGTTCGGGGGGGGGGGGCGGTAAAAAAATTTCGGGGGGGGGGGCAAAGCCCCCCCGAAGAGATGCCTGGAAGAAACTCTGAATGTTAGCACCTAAGTCCTCTAAGTTGGGAATTGAACTTAAGGCCAGCAACCTTATTTCGTTAAAAAACGTACTGAAACTAACACAGAAACACAACATTGCTGCTTACATCAGAAAGTCGCCTAAAAATTCTGTATGATGATAGCTGGTCTAAGGCTGACACTCGCTGTTTCTCTCACCTTAAGATAAAAAAATTTTATTGGGTTAATATCACTGTAATGTTACTTCCGTTTTTATATTTAAGTAAGGTCAATATTTTTTTTTCTATTTGCAGTGATTGCCGGCATATTTGTTTGTCATAATTTAGTCTGGTGTTTTCAAAATATGTGCTTTTAAAAAAATATTTTGTACTTATATTGGGCCTTTTTTTAACGATGTTGGTCTCTAAAAACAAATAAAAGAATATTCTTAAACATTAACAGTTTTGAGCACACAAACAATCTTTGGAATTTAAAAAAAATCTGAGCTTTAGAAAATTTACAACCTTTTGAGTTTGAAAAATGTCATATCCAGAACACTAATGCCTCACAAAGTTGAACATTAGAACAACTATTAGGCCAACCCCCAAATACTATTAGACCCACCCCCAACAACTATTAGGCCCACCCCCAAAAAACTATTAGGCCCACCCCCAACAACTATTAGGCCCACCCCCAAACAACTATTAGGCCCACCCCCAAACAACTATTAGGCCCACCCCCAAACAACTATTAGGTTTCTCCTCCAACTTTGAGCTTCCTCCCCGTTGCAACTTTTTGGCAACTTTAGGAAACTATTAGCCCACTCACTAATTGTAGGCCATGATCCGCATAACGTTTAGGCCCTTACATATTTTAGATCTAAATAAACTCAGAAATTTCTTAAAGATCTGACATTTCGTCAAAAAAATATCAGTCAATAAGAGCATAACTAATTAACATACCATGATGGATAATTCATTTTTCAAGAAAAGAAAGAACTACTTATCCAGTTTACCTTTCGTCAAGCAAGTGAAACTTGCCAGATTTTTCTACAGCCTGAACAACACGTTGTCCCAAAATGGCCGCAATATTTCGGTTGTTTTTGATTGCTGCAAATGAGGTGTATATTGGGCCGGAGTTGAGGTGAATAAAATGGAATGCTGAAATTAAATTATGGAATTAATTTATATACAGTGAAAATATATTTTTTTACATAATTTTCTAAGGAGAGTCGTATTGTGATTTATGTAGAACAGATAAGTTACCGAGAGCACTAAGGACAAACCAAACAGACAACTGTATAAATAATTCAATTAATTATTGACATTGATAAATAAAATTATATACAAGATCAGACGATGACAAATTGTGAATACAAAGTTGTTTTTCCTAAAAAAATAAGGTTTTAGTTTTTAAAAAAAAACTGCTATATAGATCGTTACTGAAATGTGATATAAAAAATCAAATATGCCTAACCAATATTTTACTTTCCATGGTACTTTCAATCTCTCAATCTAATCTATTTTTTTTCAAATATAAATTCTATTCTTTTATAAAAAAACAATTTTAGTATTTTAAAAACATAAAATTCTGTAATATATAAATACAATGTATCTGATTTTATGAATATAAATTTCCGGAAAAATTCATGAAAGCTAAAACTGAACTCGATAATTGTAACGATACTTATTATAAAGTCTATTTTTTAATAATTATACTTAGTATAAATATATCAAAGTTAGTAACACTCAAGGTCAGGTACCAACCGTTAGCTTCCAATAGATCGAAGTCTTTGGTCTTATTTGTGTCTCTATAGTCCCTTAGATAGTCGTCTTGCCAGATAGGATGGCAGATCTCTTGAAAACAAACCACCTGGGAATAGGGATTAAAGCGTAGATGGCGCATCCTTTATATAATTGATGTTTTAAGATATAAATATATTTATTATTATAGACTGTTATGGTCTGATTAATAAAATATGTTTTAATGTACACAAGGAACTTCTTAAAAAGAAGAAAAAAATTGTATGGGTTTGCTTCAGCTCTCATCTTTTTTAATTAGATAGTTTCAATAACTAAAACTCCAACTTGTTTGTTCTTAATTCTAGTCTTTGAAGAGATTCCCTCCAACACGATTAAGTATAACGTGTCAACTTGTTATGCGCCATATAGTCCGTTGCAGGGGCGGAACTACAGTGCCGCCAGACCCCGCATTGCGGGGGGGGCCCGGGACGTTTATGGGCCCGCAGCTGACCATAATCAATTTTTTTACAGTTAAAAAAAAATATTTTCTTTCATTTTTGACTTCATGGTTGTTTTGTAAAAAGAATATTGCAGCTGCTGTTGGATTATCATTATTCTATAGACACCATCTCAAGTCCTCTTTCTCCTACAATCAAACACACGCTGTTGTCGGCAAAAAAAATTTGAAAATAAACCCATCGCGTGAAAGATACGCAATTGTTCAAACCACTTCCATGACTTATTTCCCTTTTTTAAATAGTCAAATATGTGTGCTCTCAAGCACCTTTTAATAAATTTACACTAAACAAATTAAAAAGCAATTACTTCTCTTAATTATTATTTTTTTTAAAATACATAATAAAGAATAACAAAGCACAAAAAGGAAATGCATTTAAACTAATAATATAATAAGAAAAAAAAAACATAAAAATAAACATAAGGCGAGAAACCATTACACATACACAGCTTTCATGCTTTATATTATTTCGACCGACTTTATCATGGAGGTATCATAGCAAACATGATAAATTAAAACAGAGATTTTCAAAACAGACTAATAGCAGTCACACAAATGACCTGTTGCAACTTGTTTTTACTTTTTTAATAAAAACTAAGGATTTTTAGTTGTTTTTTTTTTTAAATTTCGAACATGCCCGAAATGAGTATTCTGTGTTGGTATATCTATCTATCTATCTATATATATATATATATATATATATATATATATATATATATATATATATATATATATATATATATATATATATATATATATATATATATATATTATATGAGGCCCAAAAAATTTCTTTGCGGGGTGGCCCTTTTTTTCTAGTTCCGCCACTGGTCCGTTGACTTAGATTTCATTATTCTTTCTTATTTAAATTTGTCCATAGCCTTGGTCCAACCAAGAACAAACTACAAGGCAGCATTTGTTTGATTTCGGGGTTGTCTCTCCTAGATGGCTCTCTCCCCAGCTGTCGAGCCTCATCTGCCTGGGGATTCGAACTCGGAACTTTTCGGTTCAAGAAATCATGAGCTTAACCGACCCGACGGCGCTGAGTTCAAAAATAAAACAAAATAAAATCCATCAATAGATTAAAAACAAAACCGACCTGCAGTTTTTTATCTATATGAACAGTTTCAGGATTTCTCTCGTAGATTTTATAAGGCACGGCCACTCCATTGAACTCCCAGATTTTGTCTCTGTATAACCTAAAGTAGGACAATGATAACAACCTAACTCTCAGGAAACAAAGTCAACTTTACTGTATAATAATAGGATCAGTTCTATGTCCAGTCAGTTGTCGCCTTTTCTCTAAGGTAGCCAGGATTACATCTGAGCTAGGTGGACTCAGAGACGTCATGAGCTCTTGTGTCTAGTATCCGAACTCGAGACTTTCAGGTTAGCAGTCGTGTGCTCTACAGTCACACCATACTGTCCTATTGTTAGTAGACTTAATTAAGTAAAACGTTTTAGCCAAAAAAAAATAGTCATCAAAAGGAGAAACAATGGAAAAAACAACAAGCAGATACGCAAAATGATAGATGATGTGACGAAATTGGAAGGTAGGTTTTAGTACTGAAATGTACGCTTTACCAGAACGAGTCCAAAATTTTGCTTAAGAATGGGACTTTAGGTTTGGCCACCAACATGCCGATGCTGCCAGTTCGGGGCCACTCTTCCAGTTTTGGCCAATCTAGGCACATGGTGGCAGGGTATCGTCTGAGTTCTTCAGAGATGGGCTTGACCCAAATGACGTCATGATCCTGGTAGGACATTTCAAAGAAGCTTCAAATTAAACATACCTATGGCTAGTAACTTAAATTCTAAAAATCCATTTGTTCTTAATTGATTTATAATATTTAGTAATTTTTTTTATCAAATTCTACTCCAGCGAATAAAATACTGGACGTTTAACGTATTCGTATGCTATTAAATATCTTTGTTAGTTGTTTTAAAAAAAAAGCATGAAATTATAATTAAATCAAATTTTCTATAAAAAAAAAAGAATCTCAATAAACTTCGACGACTTAAAAAATAATAATTAAATAGACAAATTCTTTCAATGTTCAAATATACCAATTCTTATTAGCATAAGCAAAATACACATTTATATCTATCTATACCACAACGATAACATTGGAAACTGTTTACTTAAAACAGGGGTCTCCAAACTTTTCAGTCCGAGGGCCGGATTAACTATCAAATTTCAGTTCGGGGGCCAGTTTCTTCCAGGCATGTCTTTGATTTTTCTGGGCAAAGTCCCTCAGCCATCACCAACAAACGATTTTTCCTTGGACAAAAAGATCTCCGCGGGCCGGATGAGAGGACTTCGCGGGCCGCATCCGGCCCGCGGGCCGTAGTTTGGAGACCCCTGACTTAAAATAACAAAGAGGTATATCACTAACGTTGTAGACACCCCCGTATTTATGAAGGATCAGTATACGAAGGACATCCGCTTTGTGAGCGAGGACATTGACGGCTTGTTGGTAGACTGTCTCAGTGGTTTCTACCTGAGTTACAATTAGAAGTTTCGTCAAAATTTGGATTTAATACACTTTAACGAACTAAATGAAAAACGTGAAGATGGGATGGGTTTTGTTGCTTGTTGATGGAATATTTTCAACCTCTATTCCCGTTTTTGCCCAAGGCACATGGGGCAGATGTAGCAAAATTTATGTTTAGGTGACCTAGGCATACACTGGTATAGTGTGGTCAGCACTATGTCCAGCCGCCATTACTTTTCCTTACATGAGTTAGGTACCCGTCAGAGCTGGGTTGACTCAGGGAGGTCCTACAGACTCGAACCCAGGATCCGAACTCGAGGCTTTCGGGTTAGCAGTCGTAAACGCTAACATTAATCCACACCGTTCCTGATAAAATATTCTAAAGCCCATTTATTATAGTAAACTACTTATATTTATAAACAAATATGTCTGTGTTTAAGCAATAGAATATAAGCAGACATATCAAATAAAATCGCTAAAATACGATAGGCTCAGAAAATTACAAATACATCACCAAGACAATAATACCAAATTTTTGTTTCATTATTTAATGAGGGAAAGTAATTAAGTTTAATTAATCTGAGCAATACGTATTATCCCGTTGCTGGGTCTATATGCTAGAGCTGTGATTCTTAACGTGGGTTTCAATCAAAACCTAGAATTTCGGCAAGTAAGTCACATGGGTTTAGCGGTGGTGAAGATACACACCCGACTCATATGATTCATGATCAGATTTTGTCAGTTCGGACGATAGAATTATTAAGAAGGGTTCGGTTAATACGCATATGAAACTGGTGGGGTTTGGTATGAAAAAAAGGTTCTGAACAACTGTACAAGAGACAAACAATATTTTCAATAGAAAACCAAATAATCTTTTGTTTTTTGAGATTATAAACCACGAGTAAAAAGTAAGATAAAACTCACGTGTACAAAAGTCAGATTTTCTCCTTGCAGCCTGTCCCACCAATGTCCCGAGGGTCGGGTGTCACCATGGACGAACACCCTGGGGAAATCAATTCATGTTAAATCTACTATTGTATATACGTTTTCATGTTGGCCAATGCTAGGGTTGGTGTTTCCTTCAAAAAAGTGAGGTGGGGGTGACTGGAAACTTACGGGGGTTGGGGAGGAGACGAGATGTTTGGGGGAGGGGAAGACAGGTTAATTTATATATTTATATATACAATTTATTAAGAGGCATACAAGAGCCATTCGGTGTGGGATGGGAAGGGGAGGGGGTGGAAGGGAGAACGTCCGATACTGGTTAAATAGTATATTTCCTATATACATTTTTTTTTTTTATTAAGAGATGCCTTAAAGAAGCAATGTTAGGGTTCGTTCTATATGTGGACTTCGGCTTTTTGAATGGACGCAGGCCTACACCCTGGATACATAGGGCTACAAATAAGAATATAGTGACCTACACCCTGGATACATAGGCCTACAATGTGGATACATAGACCTACACCCTGGATACATAGGCCTACAATGTGGATACATAGACCTACACCCTGGATACATAGACCTACACCCTGGATACATACTTACACCCTAAATACATAGACCTACACCCTGGATACATAGACCTACACACTGGATACATAGGCCTACATCATGGATACATAGACCTACACCCTGAATACATAGACCTACACCCTGAATACATAGACCTACACCCTGAATACATAGACCTACACCCTGAATACATAGACCTAGACCCTGGATACATAGACTTACACCCTAAATACATAGACCTACACCTTGGATACATAGACCTACACCCTGGATACATAGACCTACACACTGGATACAGAGGCCTACATCATGGATACATAGACCTACACCCTGGATACATAGACCTACACCCTGGATAGAAGTACACCCTGGATACATAGACCTACACCCTGGATACATATGCCTTTTCAAGTTAAATTTTATGCAATTAACTGCCAGTAACCTAGCACCCCTTTCAAAAGAAGATTCCATTATTTTGGCCTCTTATGACCCTATTGTACTACTTATTCCCAATTTTGAGTACAGGGAGAGAAGATTGTGGTATCGTGAAACGAGACGTAGGACATCTATTGATAGTTTGTGTACATCAACCTCATACATTGCGCACTGAAAAGGGGGCTCTGTTAGCACCGGCCACAAGGCATACTCTAACAAAGCCATTCAAGAAAAGCTTGGATAGCTGTCAAACTAGGGTGTGGGGAATGTAGTAACAGACGACTGAATAGAACTGAATTGTGTACATTCAGTCGTACGAATTTCACGCGGGGGGGGGGGGGGGGAATACGAAAATCAAATTTTTAACTAGTTGGTACTTTTAGATAAGTCACCGTGTCCTTTATATATATATATACATATATATATATATATATATATATATATATATATATATATATATATATATATATATATATATATATATATATATATACATATATATATATATATATATATATATATATATATATATATATATATATATATAATTTTCATTAAGTTGGGCTGGGTGTTTAACGTTGAGTTTTTGAATACAGTGTTTCTTCCAGACTTTCTCTTTTTTTTTGGGGGGGGGGGGAGACTAATATTTTCGAGTAGGGGTACTGTTAAAAGTATATACTTTCTATATAAATTACATTTCGTTCGGTGAAGGGTGGCGGGGGGAGCGGAACACCACCGAAGAGATGCCTGGGTGAAACTCTGGTTGAATACCTATTCAAAGCCAAATCATTTCTGGTGTCATTTTATACCCGGGTTCGTCTATTTTTATTGTCATTGAAAGGTGTCTAGTGGTTCTGGTATCCACTTCAGTGACAACAAGTCACCCTATTAATGCAAGTCTATAGAAACCAACTTAATTAAACGCTCGACTTAACTTTAATTCACTTTTTATCACCCGGAGAGTGGGGCTATCAAATTCTCGACTGATATGAAATTTGATGTTGTTAGCAGTATAAAAAAAAAGAATTTTATTTGGGAAATTGGCTTGTATATTTGTCTCTGTAAACTGCAGCTAGGGATTGTTCATATCGGGATCGTTAACGTGGGGATTGTGTTAAAAAGGATTGTGAACATAGGGATAACTACACCAAGAGATACTTTAATAGACAGACCAGGAATGTGTTTGACAAGCTTCAGATACGTGCTTGGAAGTCCAGGATACAGGATTTGTACTAGCCCTCTATTTGTCCCCCGCCCCCTTCAGTAAATAAAACAGAACTATGTATGCGACTTGTAACATTTTCTGTGGCTGAAGTAGACTTTTGAAAAGGGCTCACTACCCTTTTCATACATTACAATCCATAAAATCTGTTTTCTATGTTAACCTAAATTTAAGATTCTATAGAGGTGAATTCTTTTTTATCCCATTCTTTTTTAACTCACACAATTGAATTGAATTTTATTCATAGTAAAAATACGAATAGTAATTTTATTTTAAAGCAAGTTTATTCGGGTACTACTTTTGATTGAAGGTATAATGTTTCGTTTTTTTTTTACTTGACATTTTTTACCACACAAGTTGGAGTTTTCAGATACCAGGCCCAAATTTATGTCGTGTCAGAAGGGGCTATAGAAGTTTGTTCGTTAGCCATTGCACGTTATTCATTATTTTTCCTGTTCTTGTCCAAGAGACATGGGACAGAGACCTCGGCAAATGAAGGGATAGTGTGGACAGCCGCATTTGTTTTCTCTAACGTGAGTAAGGTACCCATCAGAGTCGGTATCTCAGTGACATTCTATTGACTTCAACTCGGCTTCGAACTCGAGACTTTCAGGTTAGCAGTCTAACTCTCTACCGCTAGGCCAGGCTGTCCCGTGCACCTTATTCACATAACTTTAATCAACACGGTAGTACATTCGGCTATAACAAAACGTAGTCGTTATATAGACAAATGTCGTGCATTGCTCGCAATGTTCCCCAACCTGCGCTGGGTACGAAAAAAACTGATGGGGCTCATTTAAAGTTGCAAACACAACGACGCGGATTTACTGTAACCGCCCCCCTCCAATACACACACACACACACACACACACACACTGTATTCATTCATTTGTTAGTCTTACAACTATCTTAAATTAAAATTTAAAAAAAAATGTACTTACCTCTGAAATCCTCCAACATACAAGGCCGACAGCACACTCAGGTAGCTCTGGAAATCCCAAATGACGGGCCGGCCCGGGTTAGGATTAAGTGTGATCATGTGACAGACCAATGGTACCAGTGGTGAGTTCTGGCAGGGGGTAGAGATTTTATGGGGGACCAGGTCAGGTTAGGGTGAAATTAAAAAAAAACAATGTTACAATATTGAAAGCGTTGGAATACGAACAACTAACCACACACACATAAACACACATATAGGCTATATTTTGTCTACTTGCCTGTGGGTCAATTATATCTAGTCACTTTTTGCCTCACTTAATTTTTCCATTTTTACTTGACGTACTAAAATATGGGCCACTTGCAGGAGGGGAGTGGTTCTTTCATCTTAGCCATTATTATTTGGGTCACTTAAATTGGTGCAATTTTTAATCATTTTTATTTGGGTCAGTTTTAATAGGATTATTTTCTTCTTCTTCTTCTTCTTCTTCGTTCTTAATTTTTAGTGTTGGGAGGGATCGAGCCTTATCTGCCAGAGGGTTTGAACTCGAGAATTTGAACTTTTCGAATTTATCAACCATGAGTTTTGCCGACTCGACCATGCTTCCATCACAATTAAGGATTACGTGTCAACTGGTTTTTCGCCATTGAGGCCATTGACTCCGATTTCAGCCTGCTTTTCTTTTTGGATTTGCTTCCATAGCCTTTGTCCAACCAAGAACAAACTACAACGCAGCAGTTGTTTGATTTTGGAGTTGTCTCTGCCAGAAGAGTGGCTGTCCCCAGCTAACGAGCCTCATCTGCCCGAGGGTTCGAACTCGATTCTTTTTGGTTTAGCAACCATGAGCTTTACCGACTCGACCACGCCGATTATTTTGATTTGGGACAAATTCCCTTCTGCCATAGTGAGACAGTGACACGGTGTGGGTCAGAAGTAAAACCTCCCCATCCAATTTTAGTAACTTGAATCACAACAGCTGTCTTGTAGTCTGCTGGGAGAGGAGAAGGAGGTGGGGGGGGGGGGGCAGGTAAACCAGGTTTGAGCTCTACAGACGATGAACTTGAGCAAACACACGTCGTTTGTACTCGCAACAAAGTAAATAAGACATTGTAGGGGGGGGGGCAATTATTAGGCTCGGGTTGTGTAGGTGTTAGATAGACCGGAGTGAACTAAATCTTTTTTTTTAATTGGCTGTCATGAAGAGACGAAGTGCATTTTAATAGCTGGGTTGTTTTCAATGTGGGTATGGAACAGAGGTAGTAGAAGGATCTTTACAAAGGCCAGTACAATTATGCAGACTGAGGTTAAGACAGTAACGAATGAAAAGGTGCACAGTAGTTTAGTTAGTCTCTTCTAGCGGTCTACGCTTTAATACAAATCCACATCGCCAACAGCATCATATAGGGAGGTACCTTCTCAAACATTAGGGTCCATGGGATAGGTGTGGACTCGAGACTTAAGGATTAGAAGTCCAACACACTATCATTCGACCACGGAGCCACAACAGTATCTTTTTTTTTTCTGTTCGTGCCCAAGATGCACGAAGCAGATGAAGTAGAGTTCATCTGTTTCAGTTACCTCAGCATGTAAAGCGATAGTGTGGTTACCAACAGCTTGGTCAGTTTATAATTTTTTATAGAAATGTTTTTTAAAATAATTTTCCATCGCCGTGTTAATTACAACACAGTACAAACCATACACAAACTAAGTGGAGTGACATTTAATTACGTAATTAAGGATGTCACCCCCCCCCCCCCTCCCTCACCCCTTTAACTGGAGTATAAACGAGCAAAAACTGCGTTATTCCCAAATTTTCAATGGTTATTTTTCAATATAGGCCTACATGACAAAACTGCACCATTGTGTCACTTATTTCATGGTGGCATGCTTAAATTCATATATTCATATACACAGAGGCGTAGCGAGAAGGGGCGGGGGGTGCGGACCGCACCGGGTGACACCATTTAGGGGGATGACACCAAGGCAAAAAATAGCAAAATAAATAGAGAAAAACTTAAATGGGGGGTGCAAATCGAAAGTTTGAGGGGGAGGATGTGCAAATTGAAAATTTGAAAGTTTGTCCCCGGGAAGGGTCGCTATTTCTCTGGGGGATGACACCATTAAGTGCCGCACCGGGTGACACCCGACCTCGCTACGCCACTGCATATACATATTCACAGTTTATGTTAACTTGAATAAAAATAACTAATTGGATAACACAAATCCAAGACTAACCTGACTCTGTTTAGCGACATAGTTGTCCGTGCGACCATAGTAAAGCCAGCGTAACAGTTCATTGAATGGTGAACTATTTGAGAGTATGTGTTCAGGGTAGATGTTGGTGGGTAGGGCCACACAGGGGGAGGGTAAAAACTGGCTTTTATTTAACAATACAAACTCTTCGTAACGATAAGGCGAAAGGCAATCAAGGTGGGTATTTAATACTTTTGATTTAAACGCGTCTAGGTTTGACATTTGGTTGAGTCCACGTTTGATACATATGATTGTTTGTTCGCTGGAGTTGAAGCCGGGTTTAGCGTAGGTGAAGTAGTTTCCATGTTTCCATTGTAGTGGAATATGAGTCAACACAGCCCTCTCGCCGAAATACAACCCACCGTCTGGATTTGAAGCTATTTGTTCTATCGCGAAGTTCACAGCGTCCATTGTGTTACATCTCACCTGTTTCTCCGTTCGCCTTAAGACTAAATTAGGCAAGGACTGCCGTAGCTCGTGAAACCAGGTGTGGTACATCAGCCGATCCACCACAGGTAACTCATTGTAATGGAACACAATTTTCAGCGGCCTCACCACACGTACTATACTCAAAATCCCGAGGTACTCCTCGAATTTAAAATACTTCCTACCACACCAAACATAATGAGCTGTTGTAGGCGTTTCGCCTGGGATTTGATCCCCTACTCTAACCCCTTTTGGTAAACTTTGTAAACCACTATCCCCTTGGCCAAGTATATCCCTGTATAATCTCTGTTCATCGAATGCCTGGTACCTTGCATTTTCACTCTCTGATGATATCAACAAATCGATAGCTGACACATAGAACGAGAATCTGTTCGCCGTTTTAAATAATCGATAAAATGCCATCCACAAAAGAATACCAATCACAGTAATTATTACCACAGTAATATAACGCTTGATTAATGTTTTGTTACGAAAAGCGCTACACAGAACCATTTTGTAAAACAAACGATAGTGAAATCACAACCTCGTTTACTACAGCAATGGAGACTCAACCTGTCACACCTTCAAATGGACTCGTCCAATGTTTAACACGCAGCGAATGAAAAAAAAAACGCACTGCGCATGGGCAGACCTGTATTGATGTCGCTAGGGTTGAGTGATCTAACGTTATGAATCGATCGTATGGTTTTCGCTCTCTTTTCATTAATGAACGTTGAGTTGTGCGCGATCTTGAATGTAAGAGTGTTCTCCATACTGTAACATAAATGCTATTCAAAAGAGGCGTAGCTAGGGGAGGGCTGGTGGGGCGGCCCCCCTCTGGCGCCGACCTAAAGGGGGCGCCGAAAGGGGTAGAAAAATAAATCAAAAAGCTTATTTTGAGCTGCATTACTAAATTATATAACAGTCGAAGCTATGGAAAATAGACCATTACTCGGTTTTACGGGCCTATTTAACTGTTTTCTACATCAAATATCTGACAACATAAAAACCATTATGGGACAATGACTGGTAAAATAGGCCCCGACTTTCCTACCTGGGGGGGGGGGGGGGTGGCGTTTTTTTTCTCAAACCAATGTGAATAGCTATACACATTTAGAGGGAGGGTGCGCAAATTTGATAGTTCGGGTCGCTACGCCTCTGATTCTAAAAACAGATGTGTTGGGTTGTAATATTGTAGTATCATATTGTTTAGAGATAACATTGGTCTATTGTAGGAATGGAGCTAGAGACTGGGTTAGGTAAAGTAAGTAAAGTTCCCTGACGGTCTATGGGGCAAGTGAAGTAGAGTTCACTTGTTTCAGTGACCTCAGCATATGAAGAGATAGTGTGGTCAGCACTATGCCCAGCCGCCTTTGCTTACCCTAACGTGGGTTAGGTACTATCAGAGTTGGGTCGACTCAGGGACGGCCTACTAACTCGATTCGACCTCGAGACTTTGGGTTACATTATTTTATTTAACACAAAATAAAGTCTTAGAATAGGTTGTTTTTTTTTAAAGTTGGACCGAGCTCCAATGTTTAAGGAAGATAAAAACAAGATTTTATCATTTACTGCTTCATTTAATCCGTTACTAAACGTCATCTAAAAGCAGATAGGCGAAAGCAGCGATCCTAATCAATGGGAGAGAACTAGCTATCCACAACATAACTGAGTTCCTCCGTGGTGGTTTCTCCTTGTAAATATGCTAGTAATGCTTAATGTAGTAGGTCTAGATTTGACAGAGATAAAAAAATAGAATTGTGATGTTAGGTATACTATCAAATACACGAAACAAATAATATATGTTAGGAGTATGACATGAAAAAAACTCGTTTATTGTCTGATCGAAACTGCACGATGCTGGTAAATGATACATTTTGTTCAGTTCACTACTTTTATCTATGCTATTATCTATACTATTATCTATACTATTATCTATACTATTCTCTATTCTATTATCTATACTATTACCTATACTGTTATTTACACTGTTATCTATACTATTTTCTATACTGTTATTTATACTGTTATCTATACTGTTATCTATTCTGTTATCTATACTGTTATCTATACTATTATCTATACTATTATCTATATTATTATCTATACTGTTATTTATACTATTATCTATATTATTATCTATACTATTATCTATACTATTATTTATACTATTATCTATACTGTTATCTATACTATTATCTATACTGTTATCTATACTATTATCTATATTATTATCTACACTATTATCTATACTATTATTTATACTGTTATCTATACTATTATTTATACTGTTATCTATGCTATTATTTATACTTATATCTATACTATTATTTATACTGTTATCTATACTATTATTTATACTGTTATCTATACAATTATCTATTCTTATATCTATACTATTATTTATACTATTATCTATACCT